CGCACGATCTTCCAGTCACCTCCAATCCTCTTCCGCCGCCTCCTGAAGAGCAAAGTGACGAAACCGACTACGGTGGCATGGATCTGGGTGCCCTTGCTGGCGGGTATGCCGGACACCTGGCTTACGGCGGCGAGGTGCCGACCCAGGACGGATCCCGGCCGCTGCCCGACCCCAACGACTACGCAGGGGCATCCCCATTCGCAGAAGCGGGAGTTGACTATGGCGGCACCGGTGGCTTGCAGGCACCGTCTGCTCACCGACTGAGCTTCGATGAAGGCGATGAGCCGGCTTCTCTGCACTCGAAACAGAGTGGCAGCGAGTCGCCCTACAAGGAGGATTATCCGGACATCTTTTACCACCCCGGGTTGTCGAACAGACCGCTTCCAGCCTTGCCTCCAGGTCCGGGCAGCGACACAAGCTCTCTGCTCTCTGCTCATCCCACCACCCGCAGTTACCATTCCCACACCCTCAGCACCGAGTCTCGGACACTTCATGATGGCGGCTCTGACTACTACGGTGGTTCCACGGGTCTCAACTCGCCCCACCCAGAGCGGTCCATCTCTCTGTCGAGTCACAGCCATACGCCCCACGTTCAAGCGCCGGTCCGGTCACGGACTGACGCGGCGGAAGAGCGGAGGAAGATGGCCAGACACCAGACGCAACAGCAGCAGCTTGCGGCTCAGAATGGGCTGCCGTACGACGGCTACGAATCTGGAACGCCGTCGTCATCAGTTACCTATGACATGATCACGCTGCCTAGCGGTCGGAAGAGGAAGTTTGTCCCGTCAAAGCTCACATCTGGTGACCTCAGAAGGTGCTCAGAGCCGTGGGCATTGAGTGGAATCGCAGCTTGGATCCGCGAGATGGCCGACGCTGAGCCGGACCTTAAACAAAAGACGGTCGAGGAGGCACTGCTCAAGCTCTTCACCGCCAAAGTCCCCACCATCAACGTTGCCGACGCCGAGCTCCTCAGCACCCGCGTGTCGCAGTTGATGTTGGACGCCGGGGTTCTCGTTCCCGAGGAGGAATGGGTCAAGTTCGGCAACGGCACTGTGTCTGGAGTCTTGCCGCAGCTGACGGGCTCTGGCTGCTATGCGCCAAAGCTTCATGAGGACGACTCTCAGCCGGGTCGCTGCTACTCTCACCAGTGCATGAGGACGCTGAAGAAGGCCAACCTGGACGAACTGCTTCTCGAGGAAGTCAAGCCGGCGGATTGGAACGTACACTACAAGATTCAAGAAGCCGAACTTGCCGAGAAGCCGAAGAAGGAAGTCGAACGCCAGCACGTCTTGCACGAAATCGTGAACAGCGAGGAGTATTTCATCAGCCAGCTCGAGGTACTGCGGGTGCTATACCGAGACCACCTGCGGAACAGCCAGCCTCCCATCATCCCGCCCAACAAGGTTGATAAGTTCCTTCTAGTTGTGTTTGGCAAGGCCGATGCTGTCCAGTCCGTCAACAAGGACCACCTTTTGGCGCAGCTGAAATACCGTCAACAGGAGCAAGGACCGTGGATCGCCGGGTTTTCCGACCTCTTCCGCGAATGGATTCGAAAAGCCAAAGATGTCTACATTGACTATGCATCCCAATTCCCCTACGCAGAGTACATGGTGCGGAAAGAGGCTGATCGCAACCTGCTCTTCCGCAACTTCCTCGAGCAAGTCATGAGGCACAAGCGCTCCGAGCGACTGGGATGGCAGCATTTCCTCAAGACCCCCATCACGCGGTTGCAACGGTACTCGCTTCTACTTGAGACTGTGGAGAAGAAGACTCTTCGGGACGACGAAGAGAAGGCCAACCTGGTCAGGGCAATCGCAGAAATCCGCCACGTCACTATGGAATGTGATACCAAGGTCGCTGAGATGCAGAAGAAGGTGGAAATGATGGAGCTCAACAATATGCTCGTCCTTAGGCCAGGCTTCCACTCGGTCCTCAACCTCGACCACCTCGGCAGAGAGCTTATCAAGCAGGGCGATTTGCAAAGACAGGGTTCCAAGGGTGTCAGATGGGTTGACACGCATGCTTTGCTTTTCGATCACTACTTTATCCTTGCAAAAGTAGTGACACCCAAAGACGGCAGGGGGGAGAAGAAGTACGACGTATCGAAAGAGGTGAGTTGCTATGATACCCGAGAGCTGGTCGTGTGCTAACCGTTCAGCCCATCCCGATGCCTCTGCTATTCCTTGACAGCATGAACGACGACCCCATATCAAAGCAGAAGAGCATAACCGCGCCCTTGGCCCGAACTGCCGGAGCAGGTTCAGACCCTAGACTGAACAAGATTGCCACCAACGGTAACGAGCGTCCCGGGCTGGAGCACGTTGCAACGAATTCCTCGATGAACTCGAACGATCCCGAGGGCAAGATCCTCTACCCTTTCAAGATCAAGCATCTGGGCCACGAGACGTACATCTTGCACGCCACGTCGGCCCAGAGCCGCGCGGAATGGGTTGAAAAGATCATTGAGGCCAAGACGAGGCACGCGAAGGCTCTCTTCTCACAAAACGCCGAGCCTTTTCGCCTCCGTGTTCTCGCCGACAGCGCGTTCGTCTATGATGCGGCGTCAGCTGTTGGCAGACAGCCGGGCGTTCCTATTCGCGGTACCCCTCTCGACCGAGCAGTCCGTGAGATTGAAGAGATTTACGGGCCTGGTAGAGGGCCAGCCCCGGTATGCAGAGCACAGGTCAACTGTGCCTGCGGCTTCAATGCGTTCGGCAAGTCCATCGTGGCCATCGGCACGGACTACGGCGTGTACATCTCGGATGCCGCGAATCCCCGTGGTTGGATGAAGGTAAGCTATAGTGTCTCCTGTGGTGATACTCAGCAGGTCCGATTACTAACCCTGTGCAGAGCGTACAAACAACCAGGGTGACACAGATTGCCGTCCTTGAAGAGTTCTCTGTCTGCCTCATTATTGCGGACCGGTCTCTCGTCGCTTATCCGTTGGACGTGGTCGCCCCAGTCTCGAATTTCCCCGCTCCAGCGCACGACAATCCCAGACGAGCGCCGCAGAGGTTAGGCAAGGATGTTGCCTTCTTCGCCACCGCCCGCATGAAGGACCGCATGCTTGTCTTTTTCAAGCGGAAAGAAGGCATGCACAACACTTTCAAGGTCCTCGAGCCCGTCTTTCAGAAGGCGGGCGAAAAGAGGCCTAGAATATTCGGTGGTCGCAAGGGGATGGGAGGCAGCACCGATGCCTTCCGCGACTATGACGAGTTCTACCTCCCGACAGAATGCTACTCGCTCAATCTCTTCCAGAGCTACATCGCCGTGTCTACCGCAAAGGGCTTTGAGCTGCTTACCCTCGACAAGAAACAGACAATGTCGATCCCCGACCTGAAGCAGCCCGCCATCGCCAACATCGCTAGCCGGATACGGGATCAGAGGCCGCTAGGTATGTTCAAGCTGAACGACCAAGAGTTTTTGCTTGCGTACGAGGATTGTGCCGTGTACGTCGACAAACACGGTGACGTGAGCCGCACTCTGATTATGGAGTACTCGGGCAAACAGAAGAAGGCTACGAGCGCTACGATGTACGGCCAGTACCTCCTCCTCTTCAACGGGGACTACGTGGAAGTACGAAACGCCGAAAATGGCCGCCTCCGACAGATTATCGCGGGCCGGGATGTGAGATGCCTCGACTTCGGTGTCAGGGGCCCTACGGGTGGTAACTCGTCAAACAACCAGAACTGGTTGAGCGGACAGACCCCGACCGGAGAGGATTCAAAGGGAACGGTCAAGATCGCAATGAGCCATCCTGAGCAGCATGGCATACAGATTGTCATGGAGATGCTTCTCAACGATGGTCACATGGAGAAGTAGGTTTGGACGGGCCTTGCGAGGAGGACATGACGATTTGATGAGAGGGGTACCACGTGGTTCTTTAGCAAGAAAGAGGTTGTGGGTACGCAAGCTAGCTTCACAAACCTCAGGGCGTTTTGGGTCAACGTGGGTCATGAAAGGCTTTTAGCAGTTGTGTTTTTGCTTGCGCGGGTTGGAAAGAAGGGGGCCGATGGACGGCGGACGGTTTTATAAGTCAGTCCTCGGCCACGGCCAGGATGTCTGAGTTTCTTGTCTCTCTGGTCTGTTGTTCTCCGTTTGGGAATTTCTTCTTCTTCTTCTTCTGCTGCTGCTGCTGCTGCTGCTGGCTGTAGAAACAGCGGCATAGATGCGGGATACGACGTCTTTGCATATGTGGAATATAACGATCCCCACGTTGACGTACTCTTTCTGAAATCCCTCTCTACAAGCTTGGTGGTGTTTCTCGAACAAGGGCATGTTGGGACCAAGCCGTCGAGCTTATGGAGTCGTCAGCATTGCTCTCATGACGGACCCCCCCCCCCCCCCCCTGTTGACGCGGCGAGAGAAAGCTGACGACAACCCTGCGAATGGCGTTCGCCCGCCAAGTCCTGCACCATCTCAAACGGGTAGTCAATAAGCGCTGCGGGCAGGGGGGCAATTGCGTAGGTATTCTAGTATATTTCGCATTGCCCTGCGGGTCGCGTCGCAACACATCTGTCAGATTTTGGGTCTTGGCCATGGAATCGAGTCACGGTATGCGCGCTGCCAGCAGACTTTTTTGATGCCCGCGCGCCCGGCTACCGTTGGGGCTCGGCCGGCGCCCGGCTCAGCTCGGGCAAAGGGTCCGGACCCTGCCTCGTAATACGCCCTATACTGTATGCGGAAGGTCCTTTGGTATCCAGTACCTTCGCTTCATTATCGTTACCTAGGCACACGGAAGCGAGAGACTATATAACTCCATGTGCTGTCGCCGAGGGCCCGGGAGGACATGATGAGAGCGTCACCCGGCCACCGTGTACGCGTTGAAGGCTTCGCTCTGTGTGTGACAGAAAGGAGGAGCGGCGAGTGAGACGTTGCAAAAACAGTGAGTGTTCTCTCCTCGGTGACGCAGACCGACACGACTCGGGAGGTTGGCAGACAGCCGACATCAAAACCAAAGACACCCCCGACCAACAAACCAACCAACCAGCCAGCCAGCCATGCGTTTCTCATCATCATCCACCACCCTGACGGCCGCGGCCGCGACGTCCTACCAGTGCCCCCCTCTCGGCGCCGTCCTCCCCAAGGCCAAAGCCCCGAGCACGCACCCGGCCGTCCGCGCCGCCGTGGCGGCCTTCACGGCGTCGCTCGAGACCGAGACGGCGGCCTTCAACGGCTCCGCCGTCTCCATCGGCGTGAAATCGGCGCTCGAGGACGCGCCGCGAGACCGCGACCCGCGGGGCGCGCAGGCCGTCGACAGGCACACGGCGTACCGGCTCGCGAGCGTGTCCAAGCTGTTCTCCGTGCTGGCGGCGCTACAGCACGGGGACGTGATCGGGTGGGAGGACCCGCTGACCAAGTTCATTCCGGAGCTCAGGGACGCGCCCAAGGGGGTGCTGGACCACTTCGAGCTCACATACGGGGACGACGGGCGGGTCGAGAGCGTGCTGCCGAAGCCGTTCGCGCTGACCCTGACGAGAGTCGAGGAGGAGGGGGGGTCGCCGCCGGCGTTGTTCTTTCAGGGATAGTGAAACCAGCATCACGACAGTCGTTTGTTCGTATGCCTTTGTCTGCCGTTTGATACTAGATACATTGGGGCCGTGTTTGGATGGTGTGTTCAGGGGCACCAAAGGACTCGTTCGTTTGGCAGTCCCGTAATCAGTCAGGAGGTTTGCAAGATGTGACATATTGTGTTGGAGTGCTGTGTTTCGTTATGATGCGTTGATGTGTAAAACAGATGGCAAGACAGCCGCAGGAACAGGGTCTGGAGCACTAGGTACAGCAGCCAGGAGAGCCATCTCGGAAAGCTCTGCCTTGGTTGATAGGTTTAGTTACGAGGTTCCGTGGTGCCGTGCTTCTTGTCCAGAAACCTTATATTGTGTCAAGTGTTGGGCGTGATATTCATGCTGTCCTTTTGGTTGATCGACTGCAAAGGAGAAGCGCTGGCAGTCGACGTGCACACACTGCAGCAGAGCGCAACTTATATTCCGAGAGCAAACGCAGCTTGGACAATCGCTGGCGACGGGTCTCGATATCATTCTGCGCCTCCATCCCGATGCCGCTGCGATACCTGATCCACATGGCCCAACCTTCGTGAGGTTTCCCAGCTGCGTGCGGCAAGCCAAGCAAGCGGCGGTGGATGAATTCAGACCTGGCAGCCTTCGCGGCCTTGGCTCTCTCTCCATCTCAGCCGTTCCGGCGCCAGGTTATGCTGCCCATCGGCTGCGGTCCATCAACACGCGTAGGTTAGGGTAAAGATGCCAAGAGACACACAAATCCTCACTTGCGGCATCTCGATGCCTCGCTCGTCACCGCATTTCGTCGTCTGTTGAGCTCTCGTGAAGCCCGGATGCTGAATTGCTTCAGCTGGATGCAAGGGGGTTCCGGAGAACAAGGGTTCATCCCCCCCTTCCATGACGCTCGGCTCAAAAGCTTAAAACTCTCAATCCATCGCTGCTAGCGTCTTAGCCGCACTGCTCCCAGCCTAGGGTCGCCCCTCCCAGTGTGCCTCTCTCTATCTGACTCTCTCCCTCTCACTTACACGGAAGGATCTTCTTGGATTGGCGCCGCCAGATCAACCAACAGCCTGCGGGGAGACGGCAATACCAAAGCAAAGATGGAGCACCGCCACGTCCGCCCGAGGGAGGCCCCTTTACCGAACATATCCCAATCATAAACCCGGCCTGTGGCGGCATCGTCCGTCTTTCGACAACGAGTGACCCGTCCCCTCCCCCTGTAAGCCTGCTCTGTCGCCAAGGGGATCGCCCCTAGCCCCAAACTCCAGGCTTCCAGCTGGGCTTCCACGCACACACACACACACACACACAAATACACACACCGCACTCCATTCCTCCCCATACACCGACCGGGGTTGGCATCGGTTAAGCCAGGACAGCGGATAGGCAGCAGAATTGCAGCAAGAGACATCGGGACAAAGATTGTCGTCATTGCCCTGCTTTTCCACGGTAGCGGCAGCGGCGGCGACAATCCTACGGCCGGCGGACAACACACAGCCCCCCCTCCCAGTCATATGGAATCATGGAATGCAGAGGGGAGGGCCCCCGGTTCTCGTAGCTGAAAAGTCCTGAGGTCATTCGGCAGAACCCACCCCATGTCCCTGTTCCCAGGGTGCCGGTTCCCCGGTTCTCGTGTGGCTGGAAGACCTGAAGGAGTCCGAACCCGACCGTTTGTTCCTCCAAATAAGGACGACTACCGTTTTTTCAACTGTTATTAGTACTGTTTTTTTATTTTATTTTATTGCCCCGTCCCCGGGCTAGGCTGAGAAGAGGAGAGAGGCGCGCTGCGGCTGTGAAATGGGCGGCGCGCGGGAAACATCAAAGCTAATCTTGTCTCTCTTTCCCGTGACGCGCGTGCGTCCGTCCAGGCAGCCTTTCTCTCTCCCTCTGTCTCTCTCTTCTTTCTCAAAACGAATCCTCCCGCTCTCTCTTCGTCACCATTCCTTGAGAACATCCCCCGCCCCCCCATTGTTATACTTCCCTTGGATTTCTGGTAGGCCACGTCATAACGAACAACAGCAAAGCATCGGAGAGCCCTAGGGAAGAGAGAAAAGAGGCAACTGCCGACAACAGAGCGTGTGGAAGTTGGACGGCGACCATGAACGCTGACGGCCAAGAACCTCCAACCCAGCAGCAGCAACAGCAGCAGCATGGGTACGCGCCCTACCCGCCGCAACAGCAATATTACGCCGGGCAGCAGCAGCAGCAGCAGCAGCAGCAGCAGCAGCCTCAATATCAACATAATCAGCAATATCAGCAATACTACCAGCAACAACAGCCGTACCAAGCGCCGCAGCAGCCGCAGTATTACTATCCCCCTCAACAACAGCAACAGCCGCAGCCGTACGTCTCTGCTCCTACCGCTACGCCGCAAGTTCCACCAACCGTCGCCACTCCTTCGCATCAGCAAAACTTCCTTGCCGAGTTGGACGCCTCGTCATCCGCGACACCAGCCGCCAAGCCAGGGCTGACCCCGACATCCACGTCATCGCCGCCCACCGCCGCCGCTCAGACCCAGCATGGGATCCCTGACACCGGCGCCGTCTTTGAGATGTCCGCCGGGGCAACGGCGCCCAGGCCCGACAACGCCTCCTCCAAACCGCAGACGGTAGCCGCCGCAACATCACCGGTGCCGGCGGCAGCGAACGCGAGCCCCGCAGAGCAAGCAGGCCAGAAACCACCGCCGCCGCCGCCCATCCAGGCGAACCCCTGGGGCTTCTTCCTCCCCAACGACGACGACGCCCCCGAGCCCTCCGCCTCCGCCTTCCCGGCCAAGGAGTCGCTCGCGGATGACCAGACTCTCGCGGTGAAGCCCCTGAGGATCGTCAAGACAGGTCCTGCCGAGGGGAATCCCGAGGACAGACCCCAAGGCGGCGGCGGCAGCGGCGCCGTCACGGAGCATGTTGCGCTGCAGCCTTGGCGGCCCGCAGCACCGGAAGCCGGCGCGGTTGCGGAGATGAGCGGTGGGTCGCGTCCGGCCGGCGGGTCCCCCGACACGCTGCAACTGGCCCCGGCGCCGCTGAACATCATACGCCCGCAGTCCCCCGCCGTCCAGCACCGGCCTCCGGGCTCGACGTCGCCCGTCTCCTCTACCTCTCCGCCGGCGTCCCAACTCCCGTACCCCATCGACGGCGACGGCATCCCGACGCCGGGCTCTCACCCCGCGCCACAGCCCAGGACCCAGCTCACGCTTCCCATCCACCCGGCTGCCACCGGCTCCCCTTTTTATCCGGCTTCGCCCACGGCCTTGGCCCCTTCACCACTGACACCCTCGCCCACGGGCGCGGTGGCGCCGCAGCCGCAGCACTACCAGGTTGCTCCCCAGCCGATATACACGCAAGCATCACCCGTAAGCCCCATCGTCGTCCAGGCCGGCCTGCCCCCGACTCTGCCCATAGGCTCCTACTTCCCTCAGCAACCGTCCTACGCCCGCCCAGAAACGACCCGGCCGGCACAGGCTCCGCCTTCGGCACACCACAGCCCGGCGCCCTCAGTCTCGAGCACCGCCACCACCCAACTAGGCCCCCAGACCGGTCAACACTCCCCAGTCCAGTCGTACACGTCGCCCCCGCCGTCCTACAACCCTACCACGACCCAGAGTCAGCCGGCAACCACATCACCGACCTCACTGCCGCAGTTTCCCCAGCCTCCGCCGCAGCCTCTCTCCCCGAACCCAACCGGCGTCCCTCTGCCCACGAGCCCGCCCCCCTCGCAGTATCCCTACTCCCCCTCCAGCGTCGGCGCAGACAAGTTCGGCTTCAACCCCCACCAGCCACCTCCCGCCCCGCAGCAGCAGCAGCAGCAGCACCCCTACAACCCGCACGCCTCGCCGCCGATCCCTCAAGCGTCCTACGTTAACGGCCCGCAGTTCTATCACCCAATTGCCCCGCCCTTGCCGCCGCGGCCATCCCCGCCGATGCCGGGCCAGTACGGACAACACTCGACACCCTGGCCCTACGGGCCCCCGCCTCCGACGCGGCCAAACTACCAGGCCCCGCCGCCCAGGCCCGACGCGCGGTTCTTCAGCAGCGCCACGGCACGGAAGCTGCTGGGCAAGACGACGGAGCTCGTCGACCAGACCATCACGCCGTACCTCCAGGACCACCGGCCCAGGCCGCCGTACAACACGTACCAGTACCAGTACCCGAACCAGCCGCCGTCGGTGCCGCAGGGCCAATATCACCAGCAGGGCTACGCTACCTCTCAACGTACGTAGTCAGCCTCAAGAGGGGCGAGGGGCGACTCTGTCCTGGTCTTTGTTAGTTGTGTGGGGACTGACACGTTTGTGTGCAGCTACGTATGCGGCCCCGTACGCTGCCCGGCAGAACACCGACGTGTCTCGTCCGTCCTAAAGAGGAAAGTCACGAGAGACGCTTGCAGACCCCCCCGAGAGAGTGAGTGGGTGAGACAGAGGTACTTGGCCTGGTGGCCGAGTCTTGCCAAATAGGCACCTGCGGATCCTGATACGGCGGTGACACGCTGTAACGCCAGACGCGACACAAGAGTTGAGTCGTGTTGGTTAGCGACGTGGACGCAAAAGGGGGTTGGAGGGGGGCCATGTACAGAAGGGAAACTATCTGCGGGGCACGTCCATCGATCCGGAACTTGGACAGGCTCGGCCAACGAATCAGGTTGGATGAGGCAAGCCGCGCGCTTATGCGGGGGAGGGTCGCCGGTGCTCACATAATTGTCATTCAGTGTTTGCGGGCCTGTCCTGGCACGATTGGGTCACGAGCCGACGTAGGCCATCTGTTCCCTGGGCAGCTCGAGCTCCAGCACGGGCACATCGTGGCCGCTATGTTGGCCACTGTGATAGCAGCCGCATATACATATGCGTAGCCTGATGCCTTTGAAGATACATCACGATAATAATGTAAATGATTGACGACACATGGAGCACGATTGGACCACCTTTGTATCAGTCGGATTCAAATTTATGATGTCACCAATAGACTTGAGGTTGCCATTGTCAACGTAGTGAAACGAGCAATTTCCCCGTGGCCGTGGCAACAACAACAACATCAGACAGAGGCCGGAGTCATCGGCACTGCGGGTCCCGAATGCGTGTCAAGACCATAGAGTGGCAATGTGGCTAGTGCCGGGTCTCGGCAAACAACCTCATCGATGGCAGCCCGACGACCCTGAAGCAAATGGCCATCTACCGTGTCAGCATTGTCCAGTAGGAAGAGTCGTACCCGTTTGAGTCGCAGTTATGTGAGCCGTGTGAGCCCGCGTGATACCAGCATGCAGGAACCGGAAAACCAGGGCCAGGCAGCGACCGGCATATCGTAGGACCGGAGTTGAAGGTCAAGATCCGATGTCGGGATCGATATGGAGTTTAATACACTCGGGCACCCATGTAGACCGCGCCGGGGACAGCTCGGACGATAGACTAGAGGATAGCGAAGCCCCCTCGTCTTCTTTTCTTTGTTTTTTTTCCCCCTTCGTTAGCGTCGTGAAAGTTCATCTCAAATTTCGGAGATGCGTATGATCCTTGAAGGTGGGGGATTTGAGTCAGTGGCTTCGCCATCGATGGCGCGGCAGATGAGTTTGGTGGATGGCAAGATTTTCTTGTGGAAAGTTTTGCTCCGTTCTAGAGGCTTCCTATATCTCGGGTTTCCCCCAAGATTGCGAGTGAGAGACCTGTTGATTAAAATACGACACACTACCCACGGCTCTTGTTGCCCGAGGTCGTGCACCAGAACACAAATTGGCTGGAGAGCTTTAATTAGGTATGTTGAGCAGGCACAAGCGACCGGGCCAAGCCGGGCCAGGCCGGGCAAGGACCCCCGGCCGGACTCTTCCAGCTTCATCCTACCGGCGATCCGGAGGGTGGGCGACAGCGTTCATGTCTTTGGTCCGCGGCCCGGAGCATAATGTGGGATGGTCGGACGTGGTTTCAAGGTCCCAATGTCCGACGCTCGGCATGGGCTGAGACTCGTTTGTTGACGCTTAAAACCGCCGATCGAATCTTGGAGCTGATGGACTTCCAAAACGGCTGTTCGGGGGCCATTGCTAGTTGTACAATGACCGCGACACGGCAGGAATGCGAATGCCAAACCTGAGAACGTCCAATTACCCTCCTCTGTGGACGCGCGGCAACCGCCAGCATCTGTAATCAGCTTAACCGCCGTCGACCGCATGTTCACGTCCTCCTCGCTGCCCTCCTCGGCTAACTCGCTTATCGTCTTCAAGTAAGCCTGCTGTAGCAGGTCGAACAATGTTACTCATCCTGTCACGAAGTTCCATGGCATGCAGCCGGCGAGATCTGGTGACCTTAGCGTTCCAGTCGAATGCCTAGAAGCAGGCAAGATCAGGCAACGCGCATATACTCGGTGAGCACCGCACCGAGCACCCCTCGGAAGCTCATTGGAACCAAGGGGCGGGCAAGCTAGGCGATTTGCAGGGTGGTGATGCGATGGGGGGCCCATCCGTTCCGCCCAAGGTGTGTGTGGATTGGCTGAGAAGAAGATCGGCAATGGCTAGAAGCTAATCGACTTCTTTGTTGAAAGGTGCCGTACTCTTAGAGTAAGCTTTGGATTGCTTGGCTTTTGCGAGGTGGAAGCATCGGTAACAGTGCTGTATTTGGGGTATTTGGGTGAATCGCCACAGCCCCCCTGGTGGCTGGCTACTTCGTCTCGAATCGTTTTCGTTGAGGAAGCATTGAAAAGTTGAATGGCGGCGAGCGCAAATCCATATCTCTTCCCCGACGCCCGACGCCGACACCGACAAAGCATGCTAGACTTGGTGTACCATAGCTCCACACCTGTTTGTAGAGTCTGGTTGCCTTGGTGTTGCTAATGTCGGGACCAAGTCGGGTCTTGCATCAACCTGGAATGGCATGCACTCTACACTATGGTAGAAGAAATGTCGGTCATCCGTCTGGGCGCGGAATAGACTCTGGGGTAGTTAAACCCACGCACGTCCGTCGTCTCAAGTGTCTGAGAGACAAAGCGGAGGTAATGACCGTTGGCCGGTGGAAGAATGAGTGACATTCATGGACCGCTGCTATAGAGACAGCGTGAGAGACGGTCGTCCTATATTCCACTAGGTAGGTAGGTATTCGAGACGGGCGTGCAGTGACCCTCGTATGATACAACGCCAAGGCGCATTGTAACGCCGCCAGCGGCCGTGGGCTTCCAGAATGTCGTGACCGCTTTTGCCGCTTCTCGAATGTCTCCAATTTAGGACGCCAGAATGCATGTCATTAGAGTTGCCCCTCCGGCGTCAGATATAGGCTTACCAATAATCGACACTTCCGCGGATGGATATAGGGAGGAGGCCATATTTATCCCTTCTGGAGGCGGTCTGTTCCTCGCCTCGTGCTTCGGGCGAGATAATGCTAACATACCACGATTGCCGGAACCACCTCCCAACCCCAATGTTGAATGAAACTCGCCCATCGCTGCCAGACGGGCAACTGACGATTACCAGACGAGGAAATACGCTTGTCACCTCCCAATGTGCCTAGCGAGACATTTTGGGCTTTACTCTCAAGGACAGCCATACGGCCGGGGATGATCCTTATCGAAAGGGAATGTTTGAACAATGTGTCTCCTCTCGTATGCATACGTAATGGAATAATAGCCTTTTCGTAGTAGTCGCAATTAATGCAGATTCGCAAGGTGCCAGCCGGGCCAGCAGACAGGGCGTCGCGGGAGCAAGCGCTTCATTCAAGAGCAGGCATGACCCAAGAGACTAGGGATCGCTGTGTAGGGGTTGCTGCCCAACTCCGAGACAGTTGGCTGAACAGGGGTAAAGGGTTCGGACGTCTGAGTCGTGAGCCTCCGTCAGGCAGTGAGCATGAACCCGGATCTGGACCTCACGGACGCTCCTAATTCACGTTGAGGCGCCGAAGCTGGGAAGTGCTGGCTATTTTGCTCGAACGACTGGGCACTGTCGTATTACCTAAACCGAAATTTATGCGTGCCTTGTTTGTTCTTTGATGGAAACCGGCCGGCCTGGCGCGGTAAGTGACGTGGGAGCTGTCGAATGGTTTTCGTGGCGTTTGGCCCTGTCTGACATTACAACTCACCTTTAGACAGACACATGAGCAGCGGCGCCTGAGGATGGGTAAGAGAAATAAGCAATAGGAACCGAGGGCCACACAAATCTGCCTATTTCTTTGTGCATCGCCGCAAGGGGGTGGAGGTGGAGGGCACAGGGAGAACCCCGACCCCTGTTGCCGCCCCTTGCGGGATATCCTTTACTGTTTTAAGGGTTTTAAGGAGGGGGACATGAAGTGGCTTTTGCAATTATTTCGGGCGTCAGCAATCAAACCGAGAAGCTGTCGTTGCATTACAAACGCGGGCGGCACTGCCGCTGGCTTAGGACATGCTCCGAGAAGACAAATAATGCCATGCCACGGCACGCAGCAAGTGCATAGCCAGCTTGGTTTCGGTTCGGACGGCAGAGCCCGTATACGACGTGTATGTGGCAGACAGGTTGATCTCACTACGATTCTGCTCTCGGTCCTCGTGATGCTAGGGTTGAGGACCTTGATCCAGTTGCGGGGAGAGAAGGGCTAAGAGCGGTGAGGCTCTCGTTGGCTGGTGGTTAGCGTATGCCACTTTGGTGAGAGCTGCATCACCTGAGGGATTAGCAGGAGATGGTAATTGCGGCGATGTCGAGCGACGAGGAGCCGATCTTGGTCCTGGAATCACTTGCCGATTGCCGCTAGAGGTTGGCATGACAATCGCCTTGGGCCCGTAAACCGGTATCGCTGTATGTGGGTTGCGGCCAACAACATGTAGAGCTTGGTGAGCCGACGAGTCAATGAAGAATTACAAGGGCGCACACATTGTCTCGCCCTCGGATTCAGAGCCACCGGTTTGATTCAGGATGGTGAAGTTCGCGCCTTCCATGTCTTCCAGCGGAATGGGGTTATAGTCAGCTCCAGGTACATGAGGGCAATCTGATGGATGGACGAGAAACTGTGTGCTCGATGGTGTATCATGATGCTGGCTGTTTGGAATAACGAGTAGCCTGTCTGGGTTGGGATCGCCTGTATGTCCATGTATGCGGTGGCCGTAGAAACGGGTGGTATCTGTGGATTCTGAGTTGAGGTGTCGTCACTCGTCAGACAAGTCGTGCTTACGCCCTTGGCGCGTACCGACGATTCCGCGCCATTGCGTGAGGTACTTATCCGAGCCCATTCTGCAAATTGCAAGGTCGTCTTCCGAATGCAGCGATTTGAAGCAGGGAGGGTTCTTTGAGTATCTGGGGACCTCGTTTGGGGTCAGTGGTAGCGGGCTTTCAGGCTCTGAAGTTGCCCCCCCCTTTGGAGAAGCGGTGGAACGTTTTGTGGTGGAGCGTAGGACCGGGGCGGCCAAGGGCCCCTGGGGTGTCCAAAAAAAATAAAAAAATGTTCCTAACCAGGGATGACCCCGTCGTTGTCCAGTGACCCGGTGGGAAGGCGTTCGTTGCATTGAATTGTGTGGCCAGTGCGGTGTTGCAATGTCGAGAAGGGGCTTGAGGCGAAAACGACCTGGTACTTGGTCATGCCACAGATCACCTCACTTAGGGCCTCGGTTGGGAGGTGATGTTGTATCGTGTGTTCCGGTTGAAGTGACGGAGCCGACGGCTTACCTACCTATGTAGGTATGTATGTATGCCTCGAAATCTTGGCGATTTACGCCTTGCTGACGCAACGTCGTACCTGGCTTGCTTTGTCACCGGTCGGGCCGGTAGTCACTCTTTTGCTGGGAGTGATATCGGGAGAGGCGAGAGGTACGGATGCGATAGACTTCAACAGGCTGACCGGATAGCTACTCCGATCGTAGCTGGGCGACTGGCTGGCTAGCCAAGGCCACACAGACCGCCGTCTTGGAAGCAATCGTGGAAGCATATGACAAGCTAGGAGCGGTAGGCTAAAAATGGAATCACAGCTCAAGCGGTCGAGAAGATGAGATCCAGAAGCCGTCAGGTTGATTAAGGCAGAAAAGGCGGGGGGCCACGACAGATTCATTACACACACGCGCGCTTGCTACGTCGTGGTCGTGGTCGTGGCCGTGGGTGCCTTCCTTCGGTCTTCCTCACAGCTTGCAGTCAAGGCAAGTGCACACTACCGTACATCGTACGAATACATATCCGTGCAGTAGGGTAGGTAGGTACCTACGTTCAGTGTATGTACTTTGGTTGAAAGGGTACTTGATTCATGGTAGAAGCAGAGGCGCAAGACCATGTACCTGTCATCCGCTCGCTGGCGAGGAAGGTACTTTGTTCCTCCCGGACCACCACTCCAGTCTCCCGTATCGTATCGTATCGGTGTCCATCCAGCAGCGCCTGCTTGCCTCACCTCTGCCTCCCTGCCTATCTGCCCCAGTGGTCCGCTGCCCGCTGCCCGCCCGCCAGCCAGCCCCTCCCTTCTCCGTCTAGCTCTGCCTTTTCGCCTCCACTTTTGGGCTCCCATCCCATTAAGGTACCCTTTTCCCTTCCTCCTTCCCTCCTCCCTTTCGCTCTTCCCTTCTTCACCCCACGATCTCTTCTTGAGCCCTTGACTGCCAAAGGCTACTTGCCCTCCCCATCCTGTCCCACCTCGTTGGACACGGCTTTTCGTTGGGTTTGGAGAGAATCGCACACTTCCGACAGCATCAATTACAATCATCAACTCTCCCGTCACGATTAATCACGCCATCTGGTCGTTCTTCTGCCATTCTTGACTTCCGAGAACCCATACTCGCCCGGTCGGCCTCTTTCGTCACAGGTACAAACCAACCAACCACCACCAACACCACCACGTCCAAACGATCCCGGCACCCAACGCCTCATCCCATCGTTTCCGATCCTTGCCACGTACAAACAACTGACAGGTGAGTTCTCTCTTGCCGTCTGATGCATGCCATTTTCAATCATCGTTGGCCCCGTCGTCAATCCATCGACAGTCATCCCCTTCTCGGAACATGGCCGCGAGGGAATCCATTCATCCTGCTCCCTCTGGTCAGCCCCCAGCCTTGGGCTGACTAGACCCGTGGGTTCGATGGTGGACCCCGCCCAACCGTTTGCCTCGTCCATCCTCTCTCCCTTCCAAGGCCTCGACCAACTCTCTCCACTCTTCAAACTCTCCATCCCCTTTTACTCTCCAAGATTTGATCCTACTTTTTCATCACCTCGACGTCACAATCTCCAAAAGCTTTTTCTACAATTCATGCATCCTTACTAACATTGTCATCTCTCTCCAGCCTACGTCTGCTTCGCTGTCTCGACTAGTCTGTAATTTTGTCAATCGATACCTAACCCATCAGAACCATATCTGCATCCGCGAGGAGCAGTATACAAACATCAGTCAAGATGACCACAATGGTAAGTTAGGCTCGGTCAGGAGAGATGCCGGTCGGCAGAGTGGACTTGCGAGGCGTGGTCGATCCTCGAGCTCGACTGTGTCGAATGCAGCCTCGTTCTGCGGCTGGCCTACCAGCTCGTGCTCGTTCACTACTGACGTCGACGGCAGGATCTTCGCGTCGGTAACAAGTACCGCATCGGCCGCAAGATTGGTTCCGGCTCCTTCGGTGACATCTACCTCGGCACCAACATCATTTCCGGCGAGGAGATTGCTATCAAGCTCGAGAGCGTCAAGGCCAAGCATCCCCAGCTCGAGTATGAGGCCAGAGTCTATAAGTCACTTGCTGGCGGCGTCGGCATCCCCTTCGTTCGCTGGTTCGGCACCGAGTGCGACTACAACGCCATGGTCCTTGACCTTCTCGGTCCCAGTCTGGAGGACCTCTTCAACTTTTGCAACCGCAAGTTTTCTCTCAAGACCGTTCTGCTTCTTGCCGACCAGTTGATTTCCCGTATCGAGTACATCCACGCCAAGTCCTTCATCCACCGTGATATCAAGCCCGATAACTTCCTCATGGGCATTGGTAAGCGCGGAAACCAGGTTAACGTTATCGACTTTGGTTTGGCCAAGAAATACCGTGACCCCAAGACACACTTCCACATTCCTTACAGAGAGAACAAGAACCTGACCGGTACCGCCCGCTACGCCTCCATCAACACCCACTTGGGTGTCGGTATGTTATTTGCGCACACCCGTCCCCGTCCCCGTTTCTCATGGCCGCTGACATGCCCGCAGAGCAATCCCGTCGTGATGACATGGAGTCCCTCGGTTACGTGATGCTCTACTTCTGCCGTGGATCCCTCCCATGGCAGGGACTGAAGGCCGCTACCAAGAAGCAGAAGTACGACCGAATCATGGAGAAGAAGATGACCACCCCGACTGAGGTCCTCTGCCGCGGCTTCCCCAACGAGTTCGCCATCTACCTCAACTACACCCGATCCCTCCGATTCGACGACAAGCCCGACTACAGCTACCTCCGCAAGATCTTCCGTGATCTCTTCGTCCGCGAGGGATTTCAGTACGACTACGTCTTCGACTGGACCGTGTACAAGTACCAGAAGAACGCTCAGGCCATCGCCCAGGCCGCGGGAGCTACTCAGGAGGAGGACGAAAAGGCGCGGGCATCTCGCACGAATGCCGCTACTGCTGGTCAGCCGACCCCTCAGTCTGGCGCTAATAAGCCTAACGCCCTTCCCAGCTCGCGCCGCAAAGTGATTGAACGAGGATCTGGTGTCGACACCCCGGATACCAACCGTGCCGTCGGTGGAAGTGACAGGATGTGAGCGGCCCCCCCCCCCCCCTATCCACCCTACCAGTCCTGTGGCATGACGTCGACCGCTGGCTGAAGAAACGTTGCTGACAAAAGCATGCTGACCCAGTGGACGATGATCTAGTTTGCGCTCGGCTACCAAGAGCGCTGGTCCAGCATATGGTTCGAGCTCCCATCTGCCCAAGTGATCATCGACGGCAGCCACCATATGCATCTATTCAACATGTTAGGGTATGACCAGACCGGTTTACTGGCTTCATTGCTCCGTGGCATGGCTCCCAGGCATCACGATTGGTAAAACGGGGTTCTGCTCACCAGCAGGGTCTCCTTTGATGATACGCCTCGCCACGCGAACCGGTCGCATTCTCTTTACGCATTTCTCATCTTCGTTCTTCGACATATTTGGGTTGATTTTCACGGATGGCTCGTTGTTTTCCATGACGGGACGCCTGACGCTGGAGACACTCGGCAGACTTTGCTGTCGAGCCTCTTTGAGTTGGGTTCCATGGCAGGAAGAACTCGAACGGCACGTCCGATACCTCAGTTTCGAGGCGCCGTCGTCGGGCCGCTCCGCGAGACATCCCCCCTCCCTCGCCCCCCCCCCCCCACACCCGAACCTGAGTGCCCTGGTCTCACTACCTAGCACCTCGTCGATGCGCTGGAGTTGCGTTCCACTGACGGTCTTTCCTTGTTCTATTTCCTTACTTTTGCTACTTCTCTTTTCCTTGAGCTTATGCGTGTCACGAGTTGATATTTGTTTCGATGGCTTCGCACTTGGTCATTCACGCGTCGAGGCCCGCTTCTGGGGAGGTATTTTCGGGGAGGGGACGACAACGAGAGAAATCCTACTGCGAAGTTTCGGGAGCTGCAGATACGGTCAGGCAACAAGCGACCCCTTTAGGGTCTCCAACGACAACGCAGGCCCGACGCAACGCACGCAGAGCTAATGAGGAGGAGAGTGTCATTTCGTTGGTTTTTGGTCTGATTTGGTTGGTTGGGAAATCGTTACTTCGACATTTGCACTCAGGCGACTCTGGGCCTGGTGAAGCACCACCACACCACGTCTGCGGTCCTCGGCAACTATCAGGGGCTCTTGGGGGCGGTCCAGCAATGTCTTGGGAAGTTGACGGCCTCATGCGGTTGCCTGCAGTAAACACGCAAGGCCGGTGGCCCTCGGGACATTGGTGCTTGGACTCTCAACACTGCGCCTCCATCATCCATAGATCGTTATCGGTCTGGCTAGTTCACATTCGGTGGAGGCGGGGCACGGGTAGTTGTGAGCATGTCGACGAGCGGTGGAACCAACCAAAACACATGGTAGCTTTCAATTTAACAGTGTCACGCGATAACCTGCTCAGATGCATCGATGCTTGGTGACAATGTGTCCGGCGGTTGTTTCGACGACGCATGCAGTTGCGCTTATGCCGCGGGTGAATTCTAGGCAATATTGCTTCCTACAACCAAGGCAATTTCTCTGTTGGTAAGTTGTACACTGAAGCGGTGCAGGGACAATGAACCAGCCTCCTTAGAATGGGACCTGGGGACAAGTTCGGCGTACGCAGCTCAGCTCGGGAAACTGGACTGGTGGTTGATGGGCAGACCGAAGCAGCAAGGTCGTTGTCAGGAGGGGGCTGTACGGGTCAGGTGCAGCTTTCCTAAATAGGTACCAAGTTAGTAGTGATGTAGTGATGCCAATCAGCTGACTGGCCGATACAGAAACAGGCCCCCCTCCAGCATATGATATAGGTAGGTCGTCAGGCGGTGAGTATATATATATCATAGCAAGATGACACGCATGCTGCCACAATTATTGCCTTCCTCTACGTCTTCAAAACCATCATTGGACCCGATATTGGCATCAAAAACAGCTGCACTGCACTGCACTCACTGGCTGCACCAGTTTCAACTCCCTCAGGCCAGTTTTTTGTTCGTGAGGTACATATATACGGCCCCTGCAACCGTTCTTTCCTCCAGTCTTGTGACGGCGGCTCTTCATACCTTCCTTTCCTTTCCTTTCCTTTACATCGCAAGTGACAAGTTTCATTTCTCGAAGCCCAGGATGTATCGTCTACGTGCCAGGTAACTAGTTGCCTGTTAGTATTAGTGTGTGGCTGTACCGCATCTGCCTTTGCCCCGCGTATGGCCCTGCCGCATCGGGCAGTCTGGTATCAGGACACCAAACCCTCGCCCTTTATCTTCTCTCCTCTTCATTCTCTCTCTCTTTTCTTGATAATAATCTTGTCAGTTTTCAAACACTCTCGATTTTGGCCTGCATCATCTAACCGACTCGTGACATCATTGGTCACAACGGAGAGGTGATACCGGTGCGCTGACTAACAAAGTGGCAGCAAACGACCAAGGATTCTTAGATTAGCCAACCGATAACCGTCATCGGCGTTTATCACTTCCGACAGCTCTGATGGCGACCCTTGCTGACGCCAACTCCACCACGCCTGCCGACGAGATGGCTCCCTCGACCCTCGACCTGTTTATGCTGACGTTCAACTGCGCCAAGAACTTTATCGATGTCGGCGTATTCGCAACCCACCTCAACACCGCCTTCAGGCACAATGCCACTGCGCTGCCAGAGGTTGTCGCCTTGTGAGTGCCTCCCTCGCGTGACTCTCCTCGAGTTCTTCCGCAAGCTAACGTGCGTTGCCCAGCTCTTTGCAAGAGGTCGCTCCGTTATCATATTCCTTCATCGGCGGTTACTTTCTCAGCCCATACCTCACACGCTTTGAGGAGGCCCTGAACCTTGCTGCGACCCGCTACATAACCGAATCCACGTCGAACAACGAGCACGACCATGTCAGCGAAGATGACACGGCTTCGGTGAGGACCACCGCTTCTTCTCCTGTGCGGCCATACACTCTGGTGCGGACTCGAAACGTCGGTATGACCGCCATTATGCTCTTTGCACGCAACCCAGAGTCCATCCTGCGCGTGCAAGAGGCGGAGGTGGGATTTGGTGCCGCAGAAATGGGCAACAAGGGCGCCGTGGCTCTGCGAGTCTTGTACGAAGGCACGACTACGGACGGTGGTAAAAAGGAGACGGAGCTCACTTTTGTGGCTACCCATCTGGCGGCAATGGAGTGGAATTTGCCCCGGCGAAACGCCAATTGGGCAGCCATCATGCGTGGTTTGACTTTCGAGAACCCAGAGGAAATCCTACATCCCAATAAGAACAAGGCCAATACGGCTGCACCCACCGAGGGACAGAACCAGAGAGATGGCTCTGGAGACGAAGGAGTGCACCTGTTGCACGACGAACATGATGCCCAGACCCTAGCTCTCCAAGAGCGGCTGCAGGAGATATCCGTATTCAAGCCGAGCTCGCATCTCTTTGTCGGCGGCGACCTCAACTACCGCATTTCCACGACGAGCCCACCGCCGATGGCGACATTCCCCAGCTTGGACCCGGACAGCGAACACCACTATTCTCGTTTTTTCGTCTTGGATCAATTGACGAGAGAACGCCAGGCGGGACGGACCCTACACGGTCTCAGCGAGGCAGAGGTCAAGTTCCCACCAACCTACAAGTACGACGTACTGCCTCCAGACAGCAATCGTGCCAAGGTTGACGGCGTGGAGGACGTTCCATGGGCATTCGCCCCTCACCGATACCCCAGTTGGACGGACCGGATCTTGTTCCTTGACGTCCCCCCCTGGGCCAAGGCGAAGCCCCAGAAGGTCGACGTTAAGTCATACGACGCTTTGCCCGTGGTGCGGAGCTCTGATCACCGAGCTGTGTTCCTGAGAGCGGCGGTGCCCCTTTTGACAGAAGAAGAGCTGGCCCGACCATCTTCGGAGGTATCGGTGGCCAGTCCGGTGGACCCCCGCCTCGTATTACCGGTTGCCATTGATCCCGAGGCCTGGGAGCGACGCGCGGCGGCGAGACGGAAGGAGGTATTTGCTGGCTGGAGCATGTTCCTTTGGTCTACTAAACAGGGGGCGCTGATGCTGGCCACGCTGTTGGCGGTGGGCGCAGGCGCTTGGTGGCTGAGCCAGTGAGCGTGAAAGGAGGCGTCGATTCGCGGCCGAGCTTGATACCCTACCATGCATTTCGGAGGATTTATGTATACACACGAGACGGACTGAGCGGCAAAGATGTTGCATTACAAGAATAGCATTGGCAAGAGCGGAGCATTGATTATGAGAAGAGAACATGATTTAAAGAAACCTCCATAGACTTTGTATCATGAGTCGTCTCTCCCCAGAATGCTCTAGCGAGCTCTGCTGGAGACGCATGTTCCCGCACAGTGCAGTATATGACGAAGCCTCTGTACAAGTAAGGTAAACGCCACAAGGGCTTGTTCCCCGAAGCACGACGGAGCGAGAGAATTGCGAGCCCCCTCCAAGAGGAGTGGGGAGGAGAGAGAGGGAAAGATGGTTAAGGGTGTCCCGAGGGCCGGGTAACCGGGATCGATCATTGCTTCGGGGAGGGGGGGATTTTGTCCTTCCAATTTAACCGGGAAACGCGCGATTACGGAAACGTTCACGTTCCACGGAATCAAGCGTAGCCCGTGGAGAAAAGAAGAAGGAAATATATTTATATATATATATAAAGAAGCAATGGGAGAGGCGCCGGACATCAGACACATGAGACGAAGGGGCGGGTGCCGACGAGACTTGGCATCTCGTAATTCCTGACAACGTGCTCAATTTACCTTTGGGATCTGAAGCAGAACGTCTTTGCTTTCGGCATGCCTCGTGTCGAGTCATCTTGGCACTTGAAGGGCCTCCCTTCGGGCAAGCGTTGTTAATCATGGTTCAGCCGAGGCGTCCCCCCCCCAAATCACTGACCGCTAACTAAGTGTGTGCAGCTTTGCCGTATGGCGAGGTGCGGACGGACGGCGTTCGGCGTGGAAAAGCCGGAGGTTTACCCAGAGCGTCAAAGTCAGTTTTGGAAATTTCCGGGACCGGTCTAGTCGACCCGAAAAGCGACCGGAAAAAGGGAATGCGCATCCGAAGTCGGGGGACCACCGCTAAGCTAAGCCTTGCGTTCGGGACTTCAAAGAACGTTCGAAACGTCCTAGGCGCGCGATGGCTTCGTCTAGCAACCTTGCGTTATTGCCTGCCCACACCACGGTCCCCGGAACTGGGCGCGGGACGTGGGAACTCAACAATGAACATGCTCATCACCGCTGGGGGCTAAATCAGCCCCTACCTCAGAAGTGCCGGCCGGGGGGAGGGAGAGGGGGTCGAGTCGGAAAACCTGGAAAATATCCAAGAACAACGGTTTAGCTGGGGGCTGAAATGACATAGGCGTCAGATCCTCGCTGCTACCTGGCATGGACGCGACTCATGTCAAGACGGCAGTATTGCAGGGCCAAGTTGCACCGAACTGGCTGGCCGGCTGGTTACTTGGCAACAAGGCAAGGTCGCTTGTGGTTAGTTGCGTTGGGCGGCGCCGTTTTCGAGATGCGAGTGAAGGTCGTAGGGAGTTGTTTGTATGATGCCGTATTTGGGGTTCAACCCATCAATGACAGGACAATATCCGTATGGTGTCTTTGAACATGCGGGCCGGGGAGCAGGCCAACCGTACCAACCGTACCAACCGTACCAACCGTACCAACCGTACCAACCGTACCAACCGTACCAACCGTACCAACCTTCTCTCCCCCCGGAGCGTCCAGTTGATTTGCCAATGCGCTACGGAGGTTGCTCGGGTATCAGAGGCGGGAAGGGGGGAAAAGCATGTCCTGTCGAGCGCGCTCCGGGAAGGTAGTGTGGTAGATGAGCGGGATGAGGGGTGGATATGAGGTGGGATGGATCAAGGAACGTTGCGTCATAGGCGCCGATAGAGTCTACAGACAAGCTGATAATGCCCCCCCCCTGACAACCCGAGAGTACCGTGCACAATAACCAATAGGGGCCCGTGCACAGTTAAGCTGATAGTGGAGTAGGTGATAAGGCTCTAACTAATAGATACGCACACACATGTTATAAAGGTCTATAGGTTTAAGAAAAACAAGAGTTTTTGTTCTTCTTGCTCTATATAGTCTAGTAGTAAGTAGTGCTCCTAATAATCTAAAGGCTATAGGTTTAATCCTAGCTTTTTCTAACTTTCTCTAACTTTTTCTTTAGGTAATTCTAAAACGGCTCTACTAGGGAGGGTTAGAATAGTCTATCCCACCCTGCTTCCTCTGCTGCGCTCCAGGTCGGGATAGGCCAAGACTATCCCTTTTTTCCCTCTGTTTTTTCCCTCTGTTTTTTCCCTCTGTTTTTTCCCTCTATTACCTCTGTGGCCCCTGTTTTTTTACCTCTATTTCTACTTTTGCCCTCTATCTATACCCTTATCTATTAGCTATAACTGTATCTATTGTCAGCTTAAGCCTGCACGGGCCAGCGCGCACGGTACTCTCGGGTTGTCTCGGGTTGTCAGGGGGGGGGCATTATCAGCTTGTCTGATCGCTTGCGCCGATAAGAGTCGCTTGCATGCAAGGCGTATCTGTACCGTATACACTTGATAAACCGACATTCCACTTTTTTTTGAGCTAACGAGATGGGGTATAGTGTATCCACCTAGGCTAGGCCGATAATAGAAAGCGGTCAGCCCACCTATCCTATCTTCCTATCTAATCTATCTAGCCTATCCAGCCTATCTAGCCTATCCAGCCTATCTAACTTATCTAACTTATCTAACCCACCACGTTATTTATAATGCCTGACCGCCAGCCGCTAGGCGAAATTAATTAAAATACCCTATTACTACCAGTACGCAAGAAAATAGGTAAAAAGCCTACACCTATTATAAAGCGATAATATATAGCAAAAAAACCTATCTAGTAAGTATAAAGGTTATATTAGTAACTAAAGTAAGTTAACGTACTTATGTACCTTAAGCACTACTAATACCTATCTAATCCTTCCTATACCTATACACAGGCTAACGATACCCCTCTAGACCCTGCTAACGGCCTCTGCTGCCTGACCTTTAAAGAGGCTGCTGCCTACTTCTAAATACCTTACTTAACAGTAGTTTAGTAGTACTAGTAACAGGATAAAATAATCTATCCTGCTGTACGTAATAAGCACTTAAAGTGGCTAGCATTTAAGGCTAAACTTTATAGCTACTTTTAGTAATAACAAGCCTATAAGAAGGTTATTACTACTAGATAGTTTAAGTAGGAGGCCTAGGCCCTTTTTACTGCTATTTACCCTAACACTATTATTACTAGTAACCTACCTAGCTATACCTACCCCTTCTAATTCTCTATAAGCTAGTTTAGTGGTTTTTATATATAATATGGTATTTTACACCGCTAGCTTATAAAGTAAGCCTTAAAGCTACCTACTAAATACCTTACTATTATTACTAACTTCCTCTACTTTAACTAACGGGTTAGTTAGCCTTTACTAGCCTAGTAGCCTATTAGTAGCCTTTAATTTCCCCCTAACTGTATTATTAACTTTAATAAGACCCCTATACCCTTTAAATACCTTAATAAATTAACGTAGGCACCTTAAGGGGCCTGTACTATAGCTAGTAAGACTAACTATAGTGGCTAGAGTAAGCAGTAAGCCACTTTAATCCTTTATATCTTTACTAATAGGATTTAATAGCTGCTGCCTAAGTTAATTTTTTATAGTAGGCCTACTAATAGTAGTAGTTACCTTAAGGCATATAAGGGTAACTTATATAATAAGGAGGTTATAGTTAAGTATAATAATACGGCCTATAATAATAAATACCTCCTTAGGCAGTAGCTAACTAATAAATTCTTCTCTCTTATAGCAGGGTAAGAGTATTTATTAGTTATAGACGTTACTACCTTTTATAAGACCCTTACTATACTATTATAACTTTAATTTTATTATATTACGCCTAGCCTTATACTGCCTAGTATAACCTTCCTCTTTTAACCTCTAGATACTGCTATTAATAAGCCCTTTAAGCAGTAGTTATCTAAAGTAACAGATAAATATATGTAGTAAATAGAGTAAGCTACTACCTGCTAGCCTAGTAAGCCTATTTAGCCTATCTAACCTATCTAATCTATCTAACCTATCTAATCTATTTAACCTATCTAATCTATTTAACTTATCTAATCTATCTAACCTATCTAATCTATTTAACCTATCTAATCTATTTAATAAGGCCAGCTAGGCCAGCCTATTAAGTGGTCTATATTAATAAAACGTATAATAGTTATATATATAGTTATAACAGCTACCTGTCGCCTAGCTAAAAAGGGTAATATAGTCTAGTAATCCTTTCTTTAGTGTAGGATTAGTACAAATCTAGATAGGAGCGACATTAACAAGATTTAGATTAAGGACATACTAAATAAGAAGATATTATAGGATAGCTAGGATAACTTTAACTATAACGCCTACGTTAAGAAGGAAATAACCTAAGAAGAGATACCTAACGTTAATATAGATAATAACTGCTAAGAGTATATATCTCTAGCTAAAGACGTCTAGTAAGCTATTAGAGGCAGTTTAACGAGGCTATAGGAAATCTAGCAAGATGTGGATAGGAGGAAATCTAATGCTAATTTAAAGTCTGTTTGCTGGCCCTTGCCACCTAATTTGCTTCTGACGTACATGACTAACCCCTGCTTTTGCCACCTCTAGATCCCTGCTTTCTGCTAGCACGCTAACCCCTTTCTAGCGGCCGCGATACCCCTTGCCGTTAGCCTGAAAAAGAGTGGAATGTCGGTTTATCGAGTGTATACGGTATAGGTACTTGTCAAAGTGGGCAATGCGGCCATGAATGCCTGGATGAATGTGGGGTAATTGACGGCGAATGCGCTAGTCATTTTCTAGATAGATTTCCCTACCTAAAACAAAGGAAAAATTATGATCTGTGCATTTTGCCCCTTAATAGGCAGCCGATTGGTGATGGCCGTGGGCTATAGGAAGAGTTATATACATATAACAGAGTAATTAATTAACGTAAGGTTATTACTGCTAATTACGCACTTTAATAATTAATAGTCTAATCTATAAGTTACTAATTAATATTACTTAAAGCGATATATAGTATATACGTAATATATATATAGATATTTATAATAACTAATAAATCTACTACTTAAAACGCTGTACTTAACAGCCTAGCTAATTAGTAGCTATAGCTTATAGAGCTTAAGCAAAAGGCCTAGGGATATAAGTTATAAGACGTAATTAATCTAGACGCTAATAATAAGTGCTATATAACTATAGTAGATATTATTAACAGCAGGCTAGAGGAGCTAACTATTACTAACTACCTAATAACTAAAGAAGTAATTAACTAATAGGCCTAGGATAATTTAACTACTAGGCTAATAATAAGGTTATAGACCTTATTATACTAAGAAATGCGACCGTACAAAAGAGTACGCAGGTCACCTGTTTTGTTACTGCAATTAAATGGTTACACACTTATAAGGGCAATTGATATCTAACTCACCCCCTCAAGGGCTTACGAAGCTTATAGGCCTTGGACACGTTATGTTATGTGAGGTAGAAACCCTAGATTCCTAGGTAAAGACCCTCTATTATGTGTGTCGCGACCGTGCATCGAACTCAGTCAATTGAGATTGACTGGGAGCTGGGCTCATAACCACTAAGAAATGACAGGTAGATCAGTAGGTTAACTGGATAGATAGGGAAATAGATAGGTAGAAAGATAGGTGTAGTTTTATTGTGCTTAGAAGGCATAGAGAGCTAGAATCCCTTAAGGGGATCTTATCTCTATATATAATTAACTAACTTCTATATTTCTAGTAATATATATATTAACCTTTATATTATATTATACTTATTATACTATTATATAGATTTAAAACCTTATATTGTTACAGCTTGTTTTAAGCTAGTTACAGCCTGTTACACTACTTGTTACAGCTTGTTACCGTATAATACGGTCTGTTTGATATCTAGTTTTATTTAAGTGGATATTTCTATTTTTAGTACCCTAGAGTAAATCTAGTTACTAATTATATATATCTACTTTTTATACTTCTTAGAGACAGAGTACTAGAGAGTAAATCTCTATAGGTCTATATCTAGAAGTAAAGGTTATATTAGATATCTTATATATATATAGTAGTGTTACTTTAAGGTTATAAATAAGGTTAAATTTAAGGTTAAATTTAAGGTTATAATTATATAAGCTTTTATATCTAAGTTACCTCCTTAAGGTTTATATATTTATATAAAGCTTACGTGTTATATAGGTAAAAAAAAAGAAAAAACCTAGTATATATATATAAGGGAAAACTTTAAACCCTTTATAGTTATATATAGTAAAAAAATCCTTATAATAAGGTAAAAAAAATTAAGAAGGGGAAACCTCTTTTATTCCTTATATTCTAAAGCCTTATATTTTATATTACTTATAGGCTTAGGTAAAAACCCCTTTATATTAAGATTTATAGTATCTTTAAAGTAGTTAATTATATTATTATTAACTGCTTTTGTAAATATATCTGCTAAATTATTTACAAAGTGGACATGATATAGTTTAATATCCTTATTATTTATATGTAATCTAGAGAAGTAATATTTAATATCTATATGTTTAGCTCTTTTATGTAGTTCTAGATTTTCTGCTATTCTCTAAGCAGCTTCGTTATCTATTAATATTATAGGTTTATTTAATTCTAAATCCAGATCTAATTCTTTATATATATATTTATAAGAATTATATAGGTATATAGCTTCTTTAGTAGCT